TCAGCAGGACAAATAGAAATACTTTGTTTCATAAGTTAAGCTACATTTGTGCATTAATGGAAAAAGGGACCAAACCATCAGATTTCTGCCTGTATAGATAATATCTAGTTATGTAAGTGACCAGCACCTCTTAACTGTGGAGCAGCAGTCACAAAACCAGTCTAGTCTGGGGTGATTTTTCTTTCCTGGCCTGCTTCAAGGCATGGGCCAGACATGGTACCTGACATTTTGGGTGGAATCCAGCTGAAATCTGACTGAGTACAGCAGTGTCCAAGGTCTATACCACTGAGCTGACTGCATTAAGTGACAGAAGATGATGATTCTGACTGAAGTGTCCATCCTGTCTCTGATCTGTAAGACTGATTAGTTAGGAAGAAGTATGTGTTGAGTCTCTTGCTCTGGTATTTTGATTGTGATGTTTTGATTCAAGTGACTCAAACAGGACCCTTATATCCTCATGAAACATTATAGAGCAAGAATTCACTGCATGGTCACAAGCCTTTCTCATCTTCCTCCAACACATATATCCAGGAGAGAATTGCATTGCTGGGGAATCCTCATCCATGTCTTGCTTAGGAGCCACATGATTGCAAATGAAATTGTCTTAGTTTGATCTGTTAAGTCTGGATTTATAACTGGCACCCTTCCTGTAAAACTCATTCTGTTAAGATTTGTAATATTGATTTGATCCTACAAGTGGATATACTAATGGTAATTAAGTGTAATGAGGCTTTAATGCATCCACAGTATCTTCAAAGGAAGCTGGTGAGTATTAGTCACATCTCAACCCGTTTAGCACATTGCTAAGGGGAATCCACCATATAATGAGAGTAATTGGAGAAATCAAGGGAGGAACTTTTGAGCCTACTGTACAGTGAAGAAAGGATAAAAATGTCAAACACCTGTGACCACACTTTCTGTTGACATAAATTACATCATTACTTTTTCCCCCACCATCACATCTTCGCTAATTGTATAAATGGATAACAAAATGATGGGCTCAATTCTCCTGGGACCCTACATTGTCAGTTACTCTAATCTTATAGCTGCTTCTTTCTAGGGATTTGTAAAAAGGATTTGAGTATCAGTAACATTACCTATTTCTCTTCTGAAAGTAGTTTCAAAATAGTTAAGGCTTCATTATGTTTCAGGAAGGTGATTATACCTATTTCTGATATTCAGTTATAATTGCACAGTATTATACATTTTGTCCTATACAATGTGGTCAGATTAATACTGTACCATTTGTTATTTTAATATGCTTCTTTACTCTAATTCTGATTTCAGAGCTGTTTTGTCTCCTAAAAATGAAGATCTGACCTGAAAGTTTTAAGTGTTTGACACTACTTGTATATATGGGATAGTAATAAATGGTTCAACATGACACTGAGTCTGAAGCTAACAGAATCTTTAAAATAAAGTTCAGAAGTGCATAAAATACACTGAAATTTAAACTTTAAAACAAAATTAAAGCACTTCATTATTTTTTTCTTTAAAAGATTATCTCTTCCATTTTCCAAGAGTGATATTTCCAGTGTCCACTCTTCATATTGTCACTCAACAAGAGGAGCTAAAGTGACACAGATTTTAGGATCCCTAGTGATAGAAACAGGAATGACATCAACAAATTTTAAAATCAACTCCCAATGTAAATGGGCACATTACTGAATGGTTCATATGAAAAATGGACTATACATAATCATAGAATTTTAGGGGTTGGAATGGACCAAAGATATCATCCAGCTCCAACCCCCTGCCCTGGGCAGGGACACCTCCCACCAGAGCAGGTTGCTCAAGACTTTATCCAACCTGGCCTTGAACACTGCCAGGGCTGGGGCAATAATTGCATTTAATAATCAATAATAATTACATTTCTTATCAAAAGTACCAGAACTCCCTTAGAAATGCTTCCCTGTATCAGAATACAAGCAGCAACAAGGTGATGTATATGGAAATTGTTAAGTAATTAATTTTGAAGGTTCAAGCACTAAAACAGTCACTAAGCTAGAACTGTGCTTTAAATGTGGTTTTAATTCTGCCCTCTTACATGTGGAAACTGGGATGCAGTTTCATTCACAGCCTATCAAATCCTCCTCTGCAGCACAGAAATAAAATTTCATATAGGCTAAGGAAATTTCATTTGTATAGAGCTATTCAGGGCCACAGTTCAGCTCATCATATAAGATACAGCAAGGCAAGTGATTCTATAGAATGTCAGGGAAGTGCCAGAAAATTCAAAGAAAAACATATATTGCAAAATAATAAAGGGAATACAAATTAATTTGTTTGTTACTTTTAATTAAACTTCTAAGGAATTTTCAGAGGACCATCAAAAGACCATTCTGAAAGGCCAAATTAATTCCAGATTTCCATTCCTCTGTGAAAAAGCAGTAGAGCTCTTGAAAGTTTAGAAAAAAAATGTGTAAGAGAAACACTTGTTCTTTCTCAAAGCTGGCTGGGAAAAAATATCCTGCCATTTTTGCTTAAAATCTTCTATCAGGTATACAAAATGTGTCGTAGATCATAAAATCATAGAATTTAAGGGTTGGAATGGACCTTACAGATCATGTAGTCCCAACCCCCATTGCCCCTTGTCCTGTCATTGCAGTTCCTAATCTTTCTTATGAACTTGTTCATCCAAACTACTCCACACATAGCTACTATCTTATCAACAAATTGACAATTCTTCCCAGGTGGAATATTGAAAAGTGCAACTAGAATTTCCATTCAATCACATACATTTACCAATATCATCCTAGTTTCAAATTCATATTATATTACATCCAGATAAATTTAAAAGACTTGTCTGTAATTTATACTACTGGAAGGTCGGAACCAGGTGCTGCATTTTACCATGGATAATGTGCCTTTTTGCAAATGTAATATATGCACATATATTTTTAATCCATTAATTCAAATTTTGGTTGCTTGTTCTACCCAGACATTTGTGATAATGCAGTTATAATGTCAATAGTTATACAGACGCAAAATGCACCTCTTCACTGTTTCTTTAAAATCCAATTTGAAACCACAGGGCAGTAGTTGTTATAAAATTATGCATTAAAATATTTAATTTAAAACACATTAATGAAAGTTAAGTCTTTAGAATCTTTAAGGGCCAAAATTGTGAATTGCATTTTATTTTCCAATTCTATTACCTAGTGTTTTATTTACTAATAGAAACAACTTATGTTTTTGCTGAGAAAAGAAAGAAAAAATATATCCTCTCAGCTGTGCATCTGTGTAGAATCTACAAAGAGACAGATACAAGTTCTTTGATGATTATTAAGTTAATACCAGCAAGATATATTAAAAGGGGCTCAGTTCTGACCATTCACACATGTCCTAGCTTGAATTATATTAGCAAACATATATTGCAGCAGAAAAAAGCATTGCTTTATGGCTTTGTTTAGTTCAAATGGAAAATCAAAATATTGGGACAAGATAACTTTATACCTGGTAAAGGAATTGCTGAGGAGCCTTTTTAGACTTCGGCAAACCCAGATGAAATTAAATATTTCAAAACTGGCCTGGGATATAATTGATTTTACTAACTCTGGAATCATTTTGAGTCTGCTATTAATGAATATTAAATGAAAACCTTAAGGCTCAACTTCACTGACATAATCTCTCTCCACAAAGATCGTACCATGGAGCCTGCAAATCACAGAGAGTATTTTCTGTAAAAATATAAAGCAAGGATAAGATATTCCAAAAATAGCAACTAGTCCATCAAGGAGAACAGTTTATAAAAAGCCTACCCTCTTAAATTCTTTTGCTAGCTATAGTAGCTATAACAAATGAAGAGCTCCTGTGAAATGCCCAAGGCCACACTTTGGCTAAGAGCTACATCATCTTTAACAGCAGATTACACTTTCTCCCGATGGAGGTGAGACCTGAGAGCAAGTTTTTTTTTTTTTGTACTACAAAAAGGAGGTGTATTTTTTTGCTGAAGTGCACTATTCATTGACAAAAGAGCACTAAAAAGAGAGGAAACCACAGAGAACAGACAATGTACTTGTAAGGAAAGGGCAATTAGAATGCTTTGGTGTGTTGTCCTACCTTGTACACAATGATAGGGATATCAATGACAATATAGATAAGGTCTCCTAGTGCCAGACTGGCTATCAGTGCATTGGGGCCATTCCTCATACACTTGTTCTGGTAAATGATCCTCAGCAGAGTTGCATTCCCAACCATTCCAACGATGAAAATAGCACAAGATACCACCGTGTTGATGTATTTAAAAGTCTCCGCGATCTTAGTCGGCTGGGTGCACTTGACAGTTTGGTTGGACACCAGGGGCTGTCTGGTGGTGTGAAGAATGCTGGATTCAATCCCTGAGAAAGTGGAAAGGTGGTTTCCCAAGTCACTCCAATTGGCAACGTATCTATCAGAACTGTCACCCAGAACAGATCCCGAAATCAGCAGCAGCAGCAGGGAAATTCTTAAACACAAAGCTTCCATCCTGAAGTCCCCAAAGAGCAAATTCAGTGAGACAGGAGTGGTTTTTTTCAGTATTTCAGTGAGGTACTTCTCACTTCTTCACCTGCAGAGAGAAACAGTAAGCAAAAAAAAATAAGAAAAGTAAAGAAGAAACACAGAATCAATACAACAGGTAGACTAACCCTCACTTAGAAAACGTATTTAAATGTTCATCCTCTGCAGCACCTGTTTATACTCACTGTGCTGCTCTGAAATCTAGATTACCCCCATTAGCTGTCTGAGTAAAGGCAAACACAAAAAATTCCTTACGCAATTGATAGCTTATACAAATAAGGTTCAAAAAACCCTGTTAGCTTGAGACAGAATTTGTATATGGATGGAAAAAAAATGAGGTGGATTAAGTTCTGTTTTAAAATAGCCTTGGAGGCTGCTGAATGATATTTTAGCTAAAATAAGAAGTTATTCCTTTTTCTTTGAAAAAGCAAGGTAACAGCACTGCATTAATAATTAAGAGTAGTAAATGTGCTCATTTTCTGAGTATTTTTGATATACTGCAACAATTAGACTTTATATTATTTTTCTCTGATTTATTACCTGGATTTTAAATGAAGACTGAAAATACATGTACATTGGACCAGACCCAAAGTCTCTAAAAATGAGGGGGAAGAATTTTATAGTTCCAGGATAGACCTCTGGCCAGAAAAAGTCCTTCAAGCTTTATGTCATTTGGTTCCTGAATGTCATTGCAACTCATGTT